GTAACATCAGAATTGAGCTCATACATGGTCTCATAAAAAGCACGGGGAAGTGGAGTAGACCCAGACACTACTGAGTGGGAAAGGCAGGGAGCCTGAGCTGAAGAGCATCACAGACTTTCCTTTCTTGCTATTTCATGTAATGTTCATCTATCAAACATAAACGAGCTCCACAGGCTGTGTCTCAAACTAGCAGAGAGTCATTAAAGCTCTGACAAAGCCAGAAGAGCCCTGAACTCAAACCCTTACCCCAAAGTTAGTCCCAACCCAAGCACAGCCCCTCAAACAGAGTCCCCCTGAGCAGCCACAGCTCTGCACACAATAAAACACTGCTCTCCCTCCTCTGCTGTCTCTGGGCTGCACAGACTCTTGCTTGCTCGAGCACTACAGAGATCTGAGTCTCCACGTGGCCTCCTGCCCCCAGGTGGGCTGGCAGTGCCTGCCCTGCCCTGCCGAGCTCCACGGGCACGGGGGCTGCAGGGCTGGCACCTGCTGCTCCATCTGGGCCAAGCAGCCCAGGAGAGAGCTCCTCCTGCCTCAGACATGAAAGGCTTGGAGCAGGGCAGGGACAGGCATGGAGTGAAGATTTATGTTCTTCCTTGACATGACCACTTCATCAGTGCATAACACATGAGCCTGTGTTCCTCCTAGAGCTTCTTATTTCACACTCCCATCTTTGTTTATTTTATTTAAAGCTTTCACTTCTGAGCTTTGAGGCTAGAGATCAAACAAATAAAAGGGAATTTGAAGCTGCAATGTCTGATCTGCATTCTGCTCAGAAGTTAAACTAAAAATTGCCCCCAAGCCAATACACAGGGACTCATTTTGGAGACCATTTGGTGGGATATAATACAGTCAATTTCCCTCCCAGGAGGTCAGGATGAAGATCCTTGTTTATTACTGCACCATCAGATGACAAAGTTAGTCTCACGACTAAGGCACTGGACTTAAATTTAGAAGATCTGAAATTAAGTTTTCATATTTAATTTCACAGCTGTCACACGACTCAACAAAGTCAGTTATTGTTCTTGTGTCATTTATCTGTCTCAAACACTTGGACTACAAACAGAGATACCGTGTGTTTCACTCAGTGATGCTCCTGCATCCCCCCTACTCTACCCAGTAAAAACCAGGAGCACTTCCAAACACTGACAACTGTGCACATTTTCACATGCTCACCCCCATTTTTCTCCTACAGTGTAAGATTCCATCTGTGTACAAGCATTTTAACTAAAAGCTCAATATTGTTTCATTTAGAACCACATGGATGCCTGCTTCTCTGATAGTGTTAAAAATGGTCTTGCCAGCAGATCTTTGTCTCCTCACAGCCCAAATCCCATTTTCTAGGCTTCCATGAGACCACAACACCAGGTTTTTACATGGTTGGTTAAACATCACAGAAAAAAATCTGTTTAAGTATCTAATATTTGTGGCATATTGGTGAATTTGTCAGTTATACTGGATCTATTGCCTTATATACCATAATGCTGACACAGATTTCAGGCAAATACCATTTCAGATGATGTTCAAAACAATGGATTTTCTATTTATACCCAGATGTCAGATGAGACTCTCTGCTCTTTAAATAATCTCAGTAACAGACACATTTATCCTAATAAATTCATGTTTCAGTTCACTTAGAAGATGTAAAGAATCACACTTTTCCATGGTGCGTGACTGGGGCAGCAGCTGAAGTCAACAAGAGCCCTGCAGGCACATCCCAATGTAGCATTTGATCTATAATCATGTTTATTGGAATCCAAGTACATAGAGACCCTCTCTACTACACTGAAAGTATTGGGAAGATTTCCATTGCAAGGAAAATAGGATTAGAGGCTAATTCATGCAGGACACTGTAGCTAGTGCCACGCCATCAGCTCTCAGGCAGAGCTCTCCAGTGCCTTAAATGAGGATGTTTCTTAATTGCTGATAGCAAATCCATTGTTCAACCACATTTCTGCTTTTGTACAGAGGAAATATCCCTGTGTACAATGAAAAGACTTAGAAATGCTAAATACTGGAAATGTATCAGACTATTCAATTATTACACACAGATTTGGTGCAAGTACTTATCTGTATGTGTTATGGAGCTCAAAAATAGGATAATGAGGCATACATATAATAATATGTATTATGCTGCTATGCAGATATAACTCATACAGCAACACAAAGTTAGGTCCTGCAGTCTTAAACACCTCGTGAACAAAGATTTAGTTGGATTTGTTGGCCCTACTGGGTGGATAACTAGTTACAACACTGCCTCACGGGGGTGGACTTGAAACAGGGCTTCTGGTTCCCAGAAGTAAATAAAGGGAAAATCCCCATTTCCTATGCAAATGCAACTGCATACTTTATGGAGAACAATAATTACTGTACCTAATGGTAGCTCTAAAAAACACCACTTTAACATACAAATGGGAAACTCAGAAGATCTAAGATGTCACTTTCTTTTAGGACATTATGAAGAAAGTTTCGTGCTTATCCAACCTGAGGGGCAGCACTGGAGACCCCAGTCTTCCCTTTCCTCACAAAAACAGGTGATATTCCTGCCAGCCCTCATCACAATGACTGCCATGTTATTATTTTATCCAGGTCTCTATTCAGGCCTAGGGAAGACTTCTTGCCTCTAGACCAAGCTGTCTCTATGCTTCAGACCAAATCCTGGCCCAGACAGTCTTTCTAAAGTACTCAGGAGATGGGGACTGGGACAGCAGCAATCTGCTTCACAGAAGCAACCAGACATCTTGTGGTAACAAGACTCTGATCCAAAAAGTACCTGAATCAGGAATTTTTGAGGGTCAAATCCCTCAGCTGCAAATCGCCTAAGCCATGCTGTGATTGATGTTCTATTGATTCACAATTACAGGCAGCTCCAAACTACCATAGGTACAGAAATTACAGCAAACCAGGGAGAAGCCTGTTATTCAGAGAGATCTTGATTCAAGCAGAGTGAAAAGGCATTATTTCTACAAGAGGACCATACCAAAACACAGGATTAATTACCTTCCTCTTATAGGGACAAAAGCAGGTGCTGGTTTACACCTTTTTCAGTCAGTACAGGAGCAGGAACAGTCTGACTTGGCTTTCTCCAGCACTGGAGCTGCCACAGAGTGGCACTGTTCACAGAGACCAGCGTGCCCAGCAGGGAGCTCACAGCACCAGATTTTTGTTTGGCCAGTTTTGTAGCCCTCAGCATCAGTCTCCACCTGGACACCCCCACTAGATGTTTTTCTGTATCCTGCTACCTTTTTCACTGATTTAAATCAATCCATTACCTCCACTGCCGGCCACAACACCACCAGTTTATTTTCAGATTTTAATGCAGCCTAGAAGTGATGCAGAAGTGCCATATCCCAAACCACAGACGTAAAAAATCGGGACAGACAGCAGTTTAGCTGATCTGGGCAGGAGGTCTTGCCCTAACAGGCATATGTGACATGCTGTCTTGGCAGCACGCGCTCGCATCCATCTGTTGACGTGGAACTGAGCCCGCTGCACTTCCACCGTCCTGGTTTCAGCTCACATGCACCACATAAGCTCTGGGCTCAGCAGGCAGGGTGCACAGTGCAAAGTCCTAAAGCCAGCCTCTACTGTCAGCATGGAAAACACTGCAGGAATTCTCACAGAGTGGAGAGGAAACATGAGAACAAGCCCCAGCCCTGGGGTCCTGAACAATAGATCGTGAGCGTAACAGTGTCTGGTTTAATTTCTTGGGGTCAGTGGGTTCAGCAAAAGCAAAATGAACTTCTTTAAATGCCCACAAGCACCTGTAGTTAGATCTCAGGAATTATCACCTTATCTACCACTAGACAGCAATGAACAACCACCTCAGTCTTGGGAATGATAAGGAGCAAAATCTTTCACATGTATTTCTACAGAAGAAAGGAACTAAATTATTCAGAAAACAGGAAAAGGTAGTAGCCAGGTAAAACTTTTACAGCACCTGTAAAGCGCCAGCAGGTGACAGTGACCCATATAGGAATGATTTCCATTACTGTGAGCCAAAACCTGCAACTGCTTGCCCAGAAAGTGTGAAGAGGTATCAGGAAGAAGTGTGAACTTCCCTGCGTGAAGATTATGAATCTGCGTCAGAAGAGACTCAGCAGAGAGGGGAGCTCAGGGCCTTCCCGGCACAGTTAGTGCATACAATTGTTTCCCTTTTCCACAGATAACTTGGCAGGGACATTTGCTCAACATTAGCTAAGTGACAGTGGCTGAGGGGAGAGCTGAAGCCCAGCCACAGCAGCACCACACCTCTGAAGCTTGAAACACTTTTGCAATGCAGATTTAAGACTATGTTCTTCGTCCCAGACATGCCTGTCATTGGATAAATAAAGGTTTGTAACTGCCTTCTCTGGCAAACCACAATATGGTAATGTGGCATTAATAACTTAATACAGTATTAACTGATAGACAATCAGTATTAGCATGATGTTTACATTTGGAAAACGTTATAGAGCACTGTATTTCCAATTCTTATCCTGCCATTAATTCAGATGTGGAGCTCATTACACAGCAATTGACATTTCCCTTCTGAATCTGCATCCTGCTCTGTACAGGCCTCGCATCTGCTTGGGACAACCAGCCCTGTAAGCCACTCACTGATCTAAATTCTCTGCAAAGCTAAATTCTCTGCAGAACATCCACGGTGTTTTGCTCACTGGAGCCTGCAGCTACTGTTTCAAACACTGCACCCGAAAAGCTGCAAGGGGGTTCTGACCGTGGGGCCTCCCACTGCTCCTACCAAAGGGATGCAGGTCCCAGCCGTGTACTCGGACCCATGTTCCCAGCCTGAGTTCACTGCTGTCCGGGGGCAAGGCACAGCCCCGGCCTTTGGGACAACCTAAGAGCACTGTGCCAACAGCCCCGGCCGCGATCGCTCAGTTTCAGCGCCGCACAGAGTCCCGCACGGCAGCGGGGTCACAGCGCCCGACCCGCGAGCGAGTGGCCGCGCCGGGGCTGCCTGCCTGCGGGCACCGGGGTCCCTCCCGCGCCCGCCCTACCTGACCCGTGCTGCTGGCGGAGGATGGCGGCCTGCCCGGGGGCGGCGGCGTGGGGCGGGCGGCGGGGCCGTGGCGGCGCGGGGCCGCCCCGCTCTGGATGTGCGACACCGCCTCGGCCGCCTGCACGTCGGGCGGGGCGAAGCGGGACAGGACGCGCAGCAGCGCCTGAGCCTTGTGCTCCTGCGTCTCGTCGTCGCTGTAGTCCGACACGCGGCACTGGTAGACGCCCTCGTCCTGCCGCCGCACGCCCGACAGGCGCAGCCGGTGCGAGATGTCGTTGCCCTGGACGCGGACCGTCTGCAAGAGAGCGCACGGCCTGAGCGCGGCCTGAGCGCGGCCTGAGCGCGGCCTGCCCCGCCGGGCCCTGCCGGCCCCAGCGCCGTGCCCGCCGCTGCCGGGGCACGGAGCGGGGCTGGACCCCCCGCAGCAGCGGGCAGAGCCCAGCGCCTCGCTGCTGGAGCCCCACCTCGCGGGCGCTGCCCACAACCAGCCCCTGTCCCCATCGCTCCCGCGCCACCTCCCAGCTGTCACCGCCAGCGCTCTGCCACCAGCCCCGCGGGGGTCTCTCGCCCCAGCCCTCACGAAGCGCCCCGAACCCCCCGGGGAAAGCGCAGCCCCCGGGGTCGCCCCCCGCCCGGCAGGTCGCAGGGTGCCCTCTCCGGGCCCGAGGAGCTGCCCCGCGTCCCCAGCACCGCGGACAGGGACAGCGGCACCCGGGCCGCATCCAAGGCAAAGGGAGGTGTTTCCTGCGGGACAGCCCGAGAAGGGGTCGCCTCAGGAGACTGGGGGTTGCAGAAGGCTGGGGAAAAAAGGCAAGATTCTCTTCTGTTTTGGCCCACAGTCCTTTTCCAACGTGGCTAAGGAAGGGCTGTAAGGCAAGCGCCACCTCCTCTGGATTTGCGAGGAATGAGACGTGACTGCAAAAGCAGCAACAGATGGTAACAGCGTCTTGAGCCCCGGCGCACCGAGGAGGGGAGACGTGCCACCCTCCTGCCGTGCTGCAGGAGCGCGGCTGCCGGTGCGCCCAGCTGCATTCGTGTGTCAGGAAATGAGGGGGCATGCAGTGAATCCCACTGCGTGGGAGGAGGGATGTGCACCCATCTCGAGCTGCACTTACGCTGATTTTGGTTGCATCCTTATTTGCTACCTAAAAGAACAGGGAAAAAAAGGGCAATTAGACTCAGCGCTGCCAGCACATCAACAGGATGCTCATATTCCCACCCCGGTGGAAGGACAGGACATGGATAAATGCAACTTTCTCAGCCTGCCATTCACACAGCCTGTGTGGCTCAGGATAGTTCCCCAGGGGATGGGGAAGGCAGCAAACCAGTGCTCAGCCGGGGGGGACTGTTTGGGTAAACTTCCCGTGCTGCCCCACAGAAGCGCTGCCTTCCCCAAGGGTGTGAACAGCAGCCAAAGAAATGCTTGTTGCATGCTCTGCTGCTCACAGTCACTGACAAACACTGGGGAAGACGCTTCACCAGCAGCACAGCAGGGAAGGGCTCGGGCAAGCTGGATCCTGCATGGCTCAGGGCAGAGCTTCAGTCCTGAAACACCCTGGGAGCAGGTATCACAGCAGCACATTTCATATTTGGTTATGTTTTTGTCTCCAGCCAACCACTGTAAACCTAAGTGATGCCTCAGACCTCACTGATACGCCTCTCAGGGAGACGGTCATCATTCTCCAGGCTTGCTCTGTCATCATTTATTGTAAAAGCAGCTCACAGTTTTTATATAAGGTTAAAGAAGACATTTAAATCCAAGCGATTTATTTCCCAGTCTGACAACTGACTTACACTTTCCCCAGCTAGGCGGCATCGCATTAGCTCAGTGTCTATATGCTTTGCATCTCTATTTGAGCTCTGCAGGAAAACAAGCGTGCCACAGAGAGGGGAGCTGGCACAGGCACAGAGGCTGCCGCGGGCCACCCTGCTGGCACAGAGGACAGGGGCTGGGGAGGATGACATGTCCTGCACAGTAGGGCAGCACAGCCTCCAAGTCCTGCTTTACCCCACTCCTTCCACAGCCCTGTTTGGCACCTGCAAGTTGTCTTTGCTCTGGTGGGGAGGGGTGTAGAATGAACTGGCTTATGCTGGGGAAATGCAGATGAAAAATTTCAACTAAAGTCTACCCTCAGACCAAGTGGCTTCCTAGGGGGAGGGCAAAAGGCACGAAAGATTTAATTGCTTCATGCATTTTAATTGCTACATCTGACTGAAAACATCTTGCTGAGCTTCAGATATGGACACAAGTGTAGATGTGGACAAGTAGCTGTGCCTTTGTAGGTGCAGACTGATGCCACATTAATATACCAACGGAGAGGTGTATCCCTCTTGCCTTTCTCTGCACTATCAGTGAGCAGAAGCTCTCCCACCTTTAACAGTAATTCCAGCTCACTCCACAGAAGCACTGGTTTTGCCTTGTCCACACTTCATACAACAGCTTTTCTTGGGACCCCATTGCTGATTTTGCAGTGGAACATGTAACATTTTCTGTTTACAGTCCTTAAAGCACTGATGTTCTTTCCTGACATGAAGTCCCTCATGGTGCATGCCCTGTACTCCTGCATTCCTCAGAGGGCCTGAGCACACTGGTGCTTCCTACTTGCATCTGGCACTGGGCAGAGGAAGCACTCTGGGAATGCTGAGTTTATTCTGATCACTGCCTAAGCATGTTGCATTAGATGAAGAGATATATCTCCATAGCAATGTATTACCTTGCTCCTGCTGCCGGGGACACTGATGGCTAATTCGTGTGCAAGTTCTCTGGCTGGTTCTTTAAGGTACCACCACTGGATTTCCAAGGAGTAAGAGGTGGATCCGCTGGCTCGGAAAGCACAAGGCATCTCAATATCATCTCCCTCCCTAACAGTCACATCTTTGGGAACTTCAGTAAAGGTAGCTGGGAGGGGAAGATAGAGTTACAAGGGCTGGTTAACGAGAGAGATTAAAAGGCAAGATCAGTCCTTTTCAGTCCAACGTGAGCTGCTTCGGCTCAAGAGCTAAGCGCTGACCGCGACACAGGTTTCCTGGAGCCCAGGGACCACAGGGTAGGCTGAGCATCCAGGACTGTGCACCAGCGGCAGGGCCGGGCCGGCCCCTGTCACCCTGCAGCCGCGGCTTCAGTGGAAAGTTTGAAGAGGACTTAACCCCCCCCTGGTCCTGCTAAGAAAGCCCTCGGCTCGATACAGGCCAGCGGTGTCCCGCTGTCCCCTCCCGCCGAGCGGCGCGGGGACTGTCCCGGGCTGCGCGCCCGCCGCGCCCGCTCCGTTCCGCTGCGCGCTGCCGGCAGCTGCGGCCCAACAGTGCCACCTTGTTCTGCCGGAGCTGCCCGGGCTGCTCCCTGCCCCCAGCCCCGCTGGAGCACGCCGGGGAGGCCGGGCCGGGAGCAGCGGGGCGGCTGCAGCTCGGTGCGGACCCGCAGCCCCGACGGCCCCGCAGCCTCCCGCCAGCGAGTTGTGCCCGGAGCGGCGCATCGCCGCGGGAGGAGGCCGGAGTTCCCTACTCACCGGTGACAATGAACAGCAGAGGAGCGTTGAACATCAGGTAACAAAGGGTGCAGAACAGCCCCCGACTTTCCATCGCATCTATGTGGGCTGCGGGCGGGGACCTGGCTGGGGGCGCAGCCGGGCACGCCTCAATCCATCGCACACAGCGGGCCGGGGCAGGGCTCCTTCCTTCCCAAAAAGCCAAAGCCTCCCGGCTAACCTCGGTTTGCGGAGAAGCAAATATAAAATCCACAGCCGGCTGCTCAAACTCGCTCGCAGGTGGAAGCGACGTTTCTGGGAATGCAGCAATAAAATCGCGTCCCGCTCCTTCTCTCCACCGCGGGCGGGATTCACCTGCCCTGCGCTGCGTGGGGGCTCCCGCAGCCCGAGAGCGAGGAGGCGACGCCGGGCGCCTCCCCGAGCCCCATCCCACGGAGCGCTCCGCGCCCGGAGCTCGCCGCGAGGTCCAGCGAGGCGGCGGCGGCGGCGGCGGGGACCAGCCTCCCCTCCCTGCTCCCGGCGCCGCCCCGGGGACCCGCGGAGCCGCGGCTGCCGCTGGAAGCACCTGCGGAGCGGCAGCGAAGCCGCTGCTGCTCGCGGCAGCCCCATCCCCGCCCCGGGCTCCTCCTGGGCTGCGTGCCCGCGGCGGATCGCTCGGCTGCTGCCCGGCTTCCGAGCTCGCTGCGTTTGTTACTTGTTAAAATACATTAAGGAAAAAAGAAACACCAAAAAAACCCCCCCAAAACCCTACTCCTATTGATTTATAAAATAGCATCATAACAAGAAAACGTTTCCATGGATCAGCTGTTTCTCAGGCTAATATCCCAATTAAAAAAATAGAAGCATGAAAAGTCATCAGTAAAGTTATTACAGTAAGTATAAATCGTAAGCAGAATTTGATTTTTGCAGTAACTAATGTGAAGGAGCTGTATTTTAATAAATTTTAGGTGTATTTCTACAATATTTGCCCTTCCCCCCCACCCCCCCAGAAATTCCATTAAAAGTCACCATTTTCTCCAGCTACAACTTTATTTAATCACTGTGGTGGCCTGGGACGTGTGTTTTAAGAGCTACAGAAAATTTCCTTTATATTTTTAATGGTTTCATTCTATACCATAAAAAAGATGTGTGATGTGTTAGCTGGATACATGAAGATTTCTATGGAACAAAATATTTGGGAACATTCTCTTTTTGAATAACTAAATCAGACCAGCTTTGATCTAGTCTCTATCTCCCCAGCTACCTCCCTGTCCCATCAGGAAAATCTCTGGTGGAGGTTGGACCCTGCCAGCTGCTGGCTCCCTGCTAGGAAAACCCACCTTTGCAAGGTTTCCATCAGGAGGTTCCAGTAAAATTCACACAGTCCTGAAGAATACCCAAACTGCATCAAATCAATATTTCTTGCTGGAAATTTTTTTCTTCAGAGGATTTTCAGCCATTCCTACTGATCTTACCGTGACTTCAATCCTATGACAGTCCTCTGGCAGGTCTATGACAATTTGCCTGAAGAGCAACTTGCCTTTCTCCAGATTGGTTACTGGGAGCCTAAATCCTGCCCCAGGCAGGGCCCAGTTCCCCAGGCAGGTGGAGTTAGCCCCTGCCAGTCATAAAAACTTATTGTAATAACTAGTAAACACCATTTAATTAAATAGTGTTATAATTGCTGACGCTCTGCTTTTTCACCCAAAAGCTCAGCTGCTTCATGCAGCATTATTCCTTTTTCACATGTGGCCTCGGGCTGCAGGGGTTTATTGTCACTGTGCCAGAGTCCCCATGCAGTGCTCCACCCACCAGGACACGAAGAAGGCAGGGAAAGGCCATCAGGACAGACACACCTGAGGAAGTAAACCCAGCAGCCACGCTGCTCAGCAGCACAAGTCTCCCAGTCACATCCCAGGAAAGGGTTAAGTTGGTCTTCTGCTAGAGAGGCAATTCCAAAACTTTGTGCCCTCTGCACAAGGATTGATTAGAGGGCTCCTCTTGGATAAACAGGATCAAACCAAGTAATTTTTATATCAAATGGCTAGTGACAAATCATGTTTTAAACACTTTTACTCAAGTTTTTATTAAAATTGATGTTTAAAAATTTCTTCTGAGATTGCAACATTGTGAAAATTTACAACAGCTGGGGAAGTGAAAATACCCAGTTTATGTTAAGTGAGTTTTGGTTCTTAGAGATAAAAAGTACGTAATAAAAATGAAAAGGAAAGGCAAATGCATTTAAACTTAGTTCTATTTTAATAAATTTAAGGTTGTTATTGTAGTAGTAGTGTTGGTTAAGACAATTCTATCTTGAATGGTTCTCTCAATATATAACACTAAACCTTCAGTTCTGCTGTATTTACTACCCTCCAAGTTTGATTTTATGTGTAGCAGCTGACACTGAAGTGCTGATATCTTGGTGTTCAATTAAAGTAAGGAATAAGAAACACAACAGTGTGTTTTTCACGGTCTCAAGTTAGAGTAATCCAAGACTCTTTTTATGTTCTCTTGCTAAAACTATAATGAGGGACTATGGTGCTCTACACTCACTAGCAAGTACTCTGTGCAAATCATCTTGCTCTTAAGATCATAACAACATTTGAAGTCATTTATTGATTCAATCCTGCTGGCAAAAGGGACTTCTACAGTAAAAGCTCTCACCTGCCTGCACTCTTACCCCAAACAGGTGATAAATGGCAGGAATGTCATAGGGAGAAGCTCACTTTGTAGTTGCTGATTCTGCAGCATCATCCAGAAATTCTCAGAAATCAGGGAGACTATTCAGGTGCTTAAAGTAAAGGCTGTGTTTAGCTGATGACCTTCTTTTTTTGCAGCTGCCTGTATGGCAGATAGGTAACAGTATTTTACACTTGGGCAAACTGAAGTTTGTTGTTTTAATGGAGAAGTCCTATGGCATTTCCACAGTATTCCACATCCAAATCAGATTTTACTAGAAAATCCCTCTAATGTCGGATAAACCCCAGCACAGGAGCATTTTTTCTGTAACAGGACTCTCCATCACGTTGTACAAGTGGCTTCATTGCTAAGCCATCCTGGAGGGGATGGTGCAGGGAAAGCTCTGAAGTCCCCTTCCTGACTCCTGAGCAGCCTTCCAGGTGAGCCAGAAGGATGAACCAGTCATTGGATGGAATCAGCAGAGTTCCTCCTGAAGGGGCAGTCATCTCTGTCACCTCTGAGTCCCATTGTCATACTCCACTACCAACCCAAATACCCCTGGTATGAAATGCAGGAGCACCCCTGACCCGGGGAGGGGATGGATGGGGGGCAGTGGATGAGTGCCTGGTGCTGTAGGCAGACACTGTCACTCTGGTACTGGCACACTTCTTTTGATGGTGTTGGACTGTGTTTTACAGGAGCTCATCAAATCCCCTAAGTGGCTCCAGCACTGTGTAGCTGATTACTCTAAAGAATGTCTGTAAATTCTCCCTGTAATACTTTTAAATGACTAGCATTTGAATGACCAAAATACTTTCTAATGGCCACTGGAGGAGCCTTCACTCCTGTTTGGAGTTAATCCACTCAGAAATTAGGGCAGTGCAGATTACCTTTGGAAAGGAGAAAGCTGCAAAAACGTCCAAATTTACACACACAAAGCATGTGGGATGAGACATACTTTGAGCTGGTGTAAAAGCACTGTAACATTCTTGATGTGACATGGTATTCCTACCATATTTAAGTAATATTTATCTCTCCCCTAAATCCTCTGGCAGAAATAAGTCCTGTTCAACACTCTATTCTTAGATTTTTCTGGCTTTTTTTCCTTCTCATTTTTCTCATTAGACTGACGTGTTTTTGTAGTCACAGGAGCCAATTTTGCTTCTAGTCACAGAAAGTAAATCCTTTTGCATGTGACCCCTGTGGACATGGAAGGCTGCAGCAGACAGTGCTGTCCCTCACAGCTCACACGAGGGGTTCCAGCACACTCTGGGGCTCAGGGTGCCCCCCTGGAACCTGAGTGTGCTGATGTGCTGAGGGGCTTCTGCAAACTGCATTTTCTGTAGAAAATAGGTGAGGGGCAGAAAAGAATACTGGATATAAAGAGACCCAAAAAAGCAAAAGTAATGCTAAAATGTTCACATCTCTGCTTCCAGCACAGTGACCTTCACTGAGGAGCTTCTATCTCAGAGCAGCCCATAAAAACAGGCTGGCAACTGCCACCCTGGTTGCCTTTAAAATGTCACTGGTTTAACATCAAATCAAGAGGTGTAATTGCCTCGTTTCTGCCTTCTTCCCACCCCCCATAATTCCAGTCCTGATCAGGCCCAAAACAAGCCCTGTTTTGGGTCTGATCAAATATGAGCACCATATTTTTGTTCCTGGAAGGAGTTTGTAAAAGGTCATAAAAACTGCAAGTTCAAAGGGCTGGATTGTTTTCAATATACACTATGAATTTCCTATTTCCCATCTCCCAGCAGGGACTGCACTGTCTTGAAGTTATTCCAGGATCCAGGTGATAGTCAGAAGTCTAACACAGTATCTGAGGAAGAACTGATTGGTGTCATATGAGGAAATTCAGGGTTAAAACTGGCAGACTCTGCTACCTCTTTGGTTTATTTATCCTTACTGTGGACAAGTGACATTTCAACCACAAAACTCTATTTAACTTTCCATGAAACTGATTAAGGTAGAAAGCATGTTTCTGCATTCTGGCCAGGCTCACTTTATGCAGCCAATGCATTTTTAATTAACTTTAGTTTCTACTTTTGGTTTCTTATCTGACATTCTTTGCTAAATGATCTAACAGGATGAGACACTCGTGCAGAAACATATGAAAAGAGAGGACAACATGCTCATAATAATGCAACAAAATCTCACATTCTAGTATACCATGCTTACAACAAAATCAAAGACAGTCAGAAAGCCAGATTATACCACACTGTAAAACATATCTGAAATTTATAGCATATAGCCTGTTTTAATAAAAGACATGATGCTGGCTGCCCAACAGATAGGAGTATAAGATGGCATGAGACGAAAACATACAAAAATTGTCATCTGTCAGGTCCATCAGCACATGGACTTGGCATTTGGCAGCTCAACCTGCAGCAGATGGGAGCTGCTGCTCCTCCACTGCTCAGTGCAGCCCTGCATACAAAAGGGATTGAGCAAATTTATTGGGAAGAGCTTGAATGAGGTGGATCACCCAGAGGCAGAGAGAGGAGTAAAAGCCAACTCAGCTCAGTCTTGGGAATTAGAAAAAATACTCTGCTTTGCAGAAGTATGCTAAATGCAGGGCAGCAACCAGAATTCCACATTACCATGAGAAGCTCTGACTCCAAGATGTCCCAGCAATGCCCAGCAGAATGTAGGTGAATTTTTTGACTCTGAAATGTCTCTATACACTGTGTTTACTTCCTGGGAGTAAAATATTTAACTTATACCAAGATCTTTAGAAATTATATTAGATCACCATATCTAAGTCCAAGAGAGAACACCTCTGAGTTTGGCCATACCTTGTATTTCCCACTGTGCTCACAGATATCCATAACATCTCCCACA